GGGCCAGCCAGCAGGACTCTTCCACCCAGCCAGTCTTTGGATCTGGCTCCTTATGCAGAAGCCCCACTTATGGCTGCCAAACAGTCTTGTCAAAACTGTGATCATTCCCTTAAAGAGCCACTTTCTTCCCCACTAAAGTCTATTTCATGTCAAGCATCGTACTACCCAAGTGCAGCAACCTCACCAGCCTTAATGGTTAACAATGTAAGCAGGAAATACATCTCCTTTTAGAAAGGAGATTCTAAGCGCTGAACACCGACATCCTTAATATTTAGATGGAAGCCCTTTACAAATTTGCATCATCTTAATCACTTCCACTGAAGTGGACTATGCTTATCCAAACAGAATTATGAGTTGACATTATAGGCATGGGATCAAACTGTGGTTTTGTTTTGGTTTGGTTTTTTTTGAGATAACTTTGCAGAGAATCGGCTAGTGAGCTCTCTGCTGGAGAGGTTCTGAACTGCTTAGCCATGAACCTTACGCACTACAGAGAAGAGAGCTGCAAGTCACCAGGTAACTCAAACATTAGATGCCAGACTTCTGCATAAGAAAACCGCCATGAAGAGTCACATGACCCAGGTAACAAATAAGATATTTGGGACCAACACAGCATTGAGATAAGGGGAAATAATGCCTTTACCTGCATTATCTTGTCCAATTGTTTCTGATTTTCCACAACCATGATATTGGTTTTGCTGTCATGAGCAATGTAGTGGCAGGCCTCTGGAGAGTTGGTTGTATATATTCCTGTGACAATTCCTCTGTATCAAAAAATTATTATTATTACACTTAATATTCAAAAAGGATAATAATTCAAGATGAGATGAAAGCTAAAAGAGTATGAAGATATGGAAGTACACAGCAGCATAGCTATCATGCTTGTTCCAAGTATTCTCATATATCTGAATGTCTAATACACCCACGCTACAAAAATTAATCACTGAATTTTATTCACTAGAAGATGCTGTAGGTTAGGATGCAGCATCAGCCGGGTTAGCTAAGCAAGTGGTAAAAAAAACACTTATGTCCTCTTTCTGATGTTGGTGAAGCTGTACAGAAATAACAGTTTGAATTTCACTGGCACAGGAACAACCTAAAAGGGAAATCCAAATTGTGCAAGCACGTACAGAAAGAATCAGGCTAGTTAGTGCTTTATCTGTCACTTCATCCACTTCAACATACCTTGCTGTAGACAAATAGCACTGACATAAAATTGGGAGGCTCTTGTCTGTTTCCCACATCTTCCAGTGATAACATATTGTACAATAGCTTCTGTGAGACTGGAACAATTAGGCCCGTAGCAGAGAGGCTCAATTTGTGAGCGTCTAGAGTATTTTGAATATACTCAGAGTTATGAGACTCAAGTAGGTCACTGAACATGCTAATCAGCTGGGGCACAACTTCCAGGATGTTAACACCAAATGCTAATTTGCTACACTGTCAGACTTACCAAAAGAGGAAGAAACCCCAAAACCCCCACTTAAAAAAAAGCAAATCAGAAAGCTTACCCAGCAAAAATTGTTCCAACAGCTGAAATGAACCATTCTGGAGAATTAAAGCCAAGGATTCCTACGCTATGGAATCGTTCAAGACCAAGCTTAAAAATAATAAGCATAAGGTTATAAAATAAGGCATGCTGGAGAGAAAGTGGCACAAAACATACACACAAATCCTAGACAATTTTGATTTATTTTTTTTTGGTATCGACAAAACATGTTCCCCACAGCTGTACTGTATGTATGTATCCACAATAAAACCAGAATTTCTGTCAGAAATTAACATGACCTAAACTTTCCACTACTTCCTCCTGTCTGCTTGAGCTTTGCTGCCCAAAAATGTCTGAAAAAACAGAACTTTTCAATATGCACAGGAACATAATGAGTATTAATCTTATCCTGTGTTTAGAATGCTTTCAAAATCGCCTTTATCTTGCCCAGTTCATGAGGGGATTGCTGTCTTTCACTTACTCTTCTTTTTATAATCCTAAGGCCACAGGCTGAACTTTGTACCTAGGCCTGAGTGAGAGTCACATGGCAGCTCCGTACTTGCACTGAAGTTCCTCTGAGAGCAATACTATCTCTTTGACCAAAACGCTCAGCTTACTCTCTAGGCCAGTGCAAATTAGAAGAAGCTAGGGCCTTTAACGAGCTCCCTCAGCTCATCCAGATGATCTTTGTCCTCAAAAGCAATAAATGCATGGTTGCTCATGTAAAAGAGCTAAAGGTCTAAGGTGCTAAGACGCTGCCCTGTCCTTCCTTACTAGTCTTCAAAAAGAGATACACTTTCTTGTGCTCTCCATCTTGTCCACAAGGAACAGGAACACAATCTTTCTTAAGAAACACTTTCTAGACCATTATTTCTAGAACCACACCTAAGAAGCGCAAAATGTAGAGGTCATGCAATCATCCTGTGGCACACGCTCCAAAAGAAAAATAATTTAAGGACTCACAACACTGCAACTCTGTGACCGCTAGACTCTCCATATACAAACATTTCCATCACCTACTGCTTTTGCCACACTTTCTATTAAACAGAGGTATCGACACTACCTGCTATTTGGGAACTTGCTACTTAGATTGTTGAAAAACACAATATACACTTAATAAACTACGTATTACTGAAATATATTAACAAGTGAAAATACCTAAGCTCCTTCTTATTGGTATGATCAAGCATTAAAAAGAAAAAAAAAATCACTAGGTAACTCAGGAGTACAAAGGCTGGCTGAATTGTCAAAGACCTTAAGTCTACCTTCCTTACAGAGGAAACACTCCAGTACCACATCTTGGTCTAAAACCCAGTCAAAGGTGTTAGATACTGTAGATACTGAACTGCAGAACTGCTGTTCTTGCTAGCAAGGATGGAGGATGTGACTGCTGCTCATCGTGAGAAGTGAAAAATCAACAGTTAGTAGTAAAAATTCTTTGGTTTTTGAGGAGGTAGAAAGGCAGAAAAGGGAATTCATTCTGTTTTCTGTGCCTACCTTTAAGAAGCTTTTGGCTGCTTTTCGGGAGAGGCAATAATACTCTGAAAAAGTGATCTTCTCCCACTTTCCGTTCTTTTTGCTGGCCAAAGCGTTAAGAGACCCATATTTTTCTAGGCTCTCTCTGAACATCTGATGAACTGTTATTGGAGCCTGTGGACATGAGTTATCTATTCTCAGTCTGACTCCGCCATCAGCAAAGGAAGTCCACAAAGACTCTGTAAAACAAAGCATTACCAAGGTTTTCTATCAATCAGTGAAAAAGTACTGTGTTACTGCGCACCGAGAGGGTTGAATGAAGACTGCAGAACTAAGGGTGCTTCTGGTGCTTCCCACCTTTTCAGTGAAGCACTTTCCAATTTTATAACTTTATCAAAAATTCCATATAGAAACAGACATCTTCTATTAAAAACACAACACAAAATGTAAGAATTGGAGTGTCATTGCACAGAATTATGCTGCTCTTCTGTGTATTACAGGCACACTACCAGCTTCTGGAGAATCGCACTTTGCCCATGCTCAGCCCAGCACAATTCTCTGTCCCTTGTGTTAACGAACAGCTGAGAAGCAGAAAACTGTGTGCTGATCGGAAACCTCTGTCCCTGCTCAGCATTCAAGCTCCTTTTGCTTGTTGTAGCCCTACCTCCCCCTAACCCCACAGCTATTCTGCTGGCTCTTGCCCCTGTCCCCCCCTGCTTCCCACACTTCTTGTCCTTGGTCATCTGCCCTCCTGCCTACTCTCCTCCACTCTGCCTACTCTCCTGCCTTGCCCTGTTTCCAGGTCATCTTTTGCCTCCTTCTGCTCCTGCCTTTCTCACCCCAATTATCTTTCCACCGTCCGCTTTTTTATATGTTTCCTCCTCCTCTTTGACAGGTCAAAACCAGGAAGCACCAGCTAATGTCACTTTGCTCTCACCATTGGTGCCAAGGACTGTAGCAGTCCTGGCATTCAAAACAAATGCCTGTCTGAAAGATCCTGCTCGGCTCTTGCAAGCACAGTAAGCAGCAGACTCCGTATAAATAAGCCCTTCAGAGAATTTAGGGGTTAGTAAGTTGGCAAAATCTACGTGAATTTTCACAAGAAAGACAAAAAACCCACTGATGAGACTCCACTGCAAAACAGCTGTTTCCTAGACTTTCAAACAAAATAGTACAGGAACATTCTAATAACATGTTTTCCCTTAGATTTGTTTTCATAAATTGAGAAATACGTTTAACCATAACTGTAAAAGTATGTACGTTCTACACAGGGCTGGTGGAAAATTTCAGACCAAACAACTTAGGTTTGACAGAATTAAGAGTAATGGAAAATGTGGCTTTTTGAAATTTCTGATACACGTTTACAAGTGCCATTATTGTCTTTTACTCACCTTTTGGAAAGCAAGAACTGTAAAGAATACTCAGCTAGTGTCTATACTGGCTGCTTGTAACTCAGGAGCGGGAAAAAGCAACTCTGGAGTGTTTGGAAGTATAGCATGCTTCACGTCCCTCCCAGCTGCTATTCCTCCGGTTGCTTCATGCAGGGCCTGGAAACTACCTCTCTGAGGGAGTATTTCCTCTGGCAATATATGAACACATCAATCATACCTGGATCCACATGAGCTCTCGAGAACACCCTTGCAGCCTCCCTCAAGCCAGGCTTGCAACCTGCACAGGTAACCAGAGCCACAGCAAGCTACTGTAAGCTCACAACATTGTGTATAGAAAACTTCCTCTTGGAAGAAAAAGAAGTTTCATTATTCAATTGCATAGAAAAGCTCAGTCTTAATCTGCTGACAAAGCACAGCTGTCACACAGAAAAATACCAAAACTAGTCTGGTTTGCTGCTAAATGTTCTGTGAACCTGACCATTTTTAAAGATTTCACTGACCCGTCTAAGAATATTTTGGAAAACTGGCAGGCTAAACTCTAGCATTGGCAAAGCGTTTTAAAAAAATAACTGATTCAGCTTTCTGATACCCCTTTGCAGGTAAGGAGATAAAGACACTGGTGCAGAAAGTGAACTGAGCTGTCGCAGGTGCAACGTGTGTCAATAGCACAGCCCAGGATTACTGCTCCTGACTCACATTATGTTCCATTCACGTTCCTGACTCCCAGCCTTGTATTTCTTCTCTTGACCATCCTGACCAACAGAAAGTAATGACGACAGCGGTAAATAAAGCAAAGCTGCTTAATCTCCATGTGCCTTCATTTTCTCACTTGTAAATTACATATAATGATGTTCAAAACAAAGGTATGGAACTTTATCAAATTTTATTGTATGTTTTGAGGTCGGTGGACGAATGGCATCATAAGTTCAGCCAGCTCAGAAAACAAGTAGCTACAGAGGACTCTAGACAATGGATAGCAGGATTTTATCAAAGAATAAGCAGTGGCACCCCATAAACCTTTTAAAAGCAGGGAGGGCAAAGCAGGTGTTTCTGCACTGAACCCCAAGCCTTGTGTAAAAAAGATGAGAGAGATGCCCCAGAGATGAAAGCTAGCGATGATCCAAATGCTTATTTTCTGCAGGGACATACCAAAGCCCACATGGAGAACTCTACATTATGTTCTGGCTTCTAAAAGAACAAGACGGGAGGCAGTGCAGGTGTGGGTAGGCACAGGTCGGTGAGTGCTCTATTGAAAACAAAATCACATCATGTAGAACTAAAAAAAAATTCTTGACCAAAGATAGCAGAAGTATGTCTTCAAGGCAACTGAAAATATTAGCAACATCCCTAGAATCACTTTGCAAAAGTTGCATAAATATGATCTTTCTTTTCACTGCAGACATACAATAGATAGTAAAATAGAGCGTCTCCAGAGAGAAGAGCTAAAATGTCATACCCTTAAGATACCTATACACATATACCAAAAAAGTACTTGAAAACTTGGCCTCATGTTGCTTTTACTTATATTTTACTGAAATCAGGAAAAAAAAATGCATCTTTGATTTAGACCAGAAAGACTAAGAACAGAATCAGTCTCTCAGAGACTCAAGGAGTTACCTTAATACTATACCATATATATGGAAAAGGAATACAAATTTGAACACCAGTTCAGGGTCTGTGCTTGCATGAATTTGCATGTAGAAATTAAATCGAAAATAGTTCTAAAATCTAGAAAATAAGCCAAAAAATTCTAAAGGATCTAACTGTTCCCTCTCAGAGGATTTGTAAAAACAACAGAACACAAACAACATTGTCTGCTGTCAATTAGTAGAGGGACTTTGTGACGCAGAAAGAGCCTGGGAAGGAAATTATGCCTAAATACTGAATGAAATGATTATACATTTTGGGAAAAGCAAAAAAGTTGCCCTGTCTAGCTGGTATCTGGATATTCAATTGCAATGTCCAGGTTGGAAATGAACTCAGCACCATTTGAAACCCAAGGGGAAATCAAAATAAAGATCCTTTAAATACACTATGAATGTTGATACTTTATACACCCATAGGTTTACTGAGAGCATAAGAAAAAAATAAGCCATCATTCCAGCTCAAAGTACTTAGCAGAACCCAACTGAAAAGTTCCCTAAATGCAAGTAATCAAAAAGGAGCATCTGTCCCCCTCCTCTTGCCTCCAACAACTCCTACTACCTGCGTTACACTTTGCACCCAAAATGCTTTTTCATTCGCTAGTACGTGTCCTTGGCTCATGTCTCATGTGAATTCACTGAATGTCAGAGCTGGTCAGAAAACGTTTACTCCTAAAGAAAACTATATTGTCAGATAAAATAAAAAGAGCAGAGATTTTATTCAGACAAGTACTCTTTGACCTTGACTCTGGGCCTCTTCAAGTGTTTTTTTTCCCCTGACATTCTCCTCTAAGGAGAAATTCCATGATCGGACTAAATCTTCCATGATTCACTGCCTTTGCTGCTGAAGGAAAATGCAGTCCAGAGTAGTCTCATACGTACAGTGCATAAGAGGAAGACTGTACTGCAGTTTCTACAAGGAGCTGCTGTAGCACATCTGATCAAAATATTCTGGATTTCAGGCAGGCATTTTTTTCCAGCAAAGTGCAAATTTTCAACAAGGAACTTTTCATGAGGAAAAATAAAGACTTTGTTTACCATGTAAAAAAAAATACTTCGAAAGAATGTTTGCAACCCACTTTTCACAATTTAATTCTAAATTTGTGCGCTATTCACAACTGAATACTGATCTATAAAAGTGCATTTGTTATTCAACTATTTTCTACCAAATTGGAAATAATACACAACGTAAACACACAGCACTTTCTGTATTTTTATAAGCCAATTGTTTGTTATTCCTTTCCACAGCATGTGACTGAACGGGTGTGACACCGTACAGGCTTTCTCTCCCAGCCTAGATTCTAAAAAGCTGTTTTAAATAGATAAACAAACAGCAAGTCTGCATATTTTTTCATTTGAATAATCAGTTTTGGCTGAAACTGCTGGACCTTTGGGATGTATGAGGGAGACTGTACACTGGTTAAAAAACAAACAACAAAAATTAAAACACAGATCCTATAGTCCTTAAGGCTAATCCATGAATGAAACCTCCTCTCTGTTCACTACCTCCCTTGCAAGCGTTCCGGTGACTGCCAGAACGGATTTGTGAATGGAAATGAATTCTGATGTTTATGGAGGAAGAACTCTGAGAGCCATACAAAATGCAAAAGCACCAAGGTCACCTTCCGGATGAGTAAACAAACAGGCAGGCTGCAGATGCCGAGTGTGGAACGGCCCTGCTGGGTGAGCTGAGCAACTCCAAGCGATGCTCTGCAGATGTGAGAGCAGGGAAGCAGCAACCAAAACAGTAATTGAACTTCTGCCTGAAACTGATTCAGTTGTAACTCACAAAACAGTATCTTGATTATACACCAGTTCCAGCAAAACGCTGCTTTGATCTAATGACAGGAGAAGGTATTCAGCTGTTCGCTGGAGGTGTTTCTTATGGACGGTCGTCAACCCGGATTCCACAGCTATGATGCCATCCCATTCTGCTGACAATACAAATATAATCATTCCTCCTCCTACACCGACCCATTATTTTTTTTATTTTCTTCAAGACATCTTTGGCACTAAATGCTAAACAACTCATTACTGAAACCTGGGGTTGAACGCATACAGGCTTGAGTCTGAGAGCTTTACATTGGTGTCAAATGTCCCCTTGTGCAGATCAACAGACTAAACCAAGAATTATAAAGCTTCCGAGTTTCACGTGAACCTCAATACATCAGCCAGAATACATGCACAGTGATTCTTGAAAGCAAACAAAAAAGCTTTCCTTATTGCTTCCCTTGCCTCAGCTGAGGGGAGGGTTCTGGTCTACTATCAGTTTTCTACACTAACCCTGTAGCTTTTAAACTCCCAAACAGAAAAGACTTAATGAATAGCTGAATTTTTGTTTAATTAGCCAAAAACCACAGAAAGATTTCAGTTCATGGAAACTTGTTGTATCTTTTCCAGCAGAAGAAAAAGGAACACATACGAATGGCAATAAAATACATTGTTCCACAGATGCAGTGAACTACTACTAACGTGGATTAGAGAAACAAGAAATCCTCCAAAGAATGCTTCTGCAAACTGACACAGAGGGAGTGGTGCAGCGGAACACACAATTAAGTTTAAAATAAGCTTCATAACAATAGTGACACTGCGAAAATTGATTACGATGCACAAAAATGGAAATGTGTGGAGGGTGTAATCAGGAACAAGCTATTCAGGAGGAAAACACTGCTACAGAAACATTGCCCAGGCATGCAGGCGTACAAATAGGAAAGCCAAAACTCACCTGGGGCTGAAACTGCTGAGGGACGTGAAGAGCCCCAGGAGGGGCTTCTCCAGGTACACTGGCAACAAATGAAAAGCCCAAAGATATCATGGGCAACTTTCTGTCAAAAGACATGGAAAGGACTCACTGCCTTCTTTACCTTGGTATTTACTGGCAAGACCTGCTATCAGGCTTCCTGGATTTCTGTGCCTAGTGGCAGCAGAGAAGTACTACCTACAGAAGAGGAAGACCAAATTAGAGATCACTTCAGCAAACAGGACAAACAAGTCCATGGGCCTAATAGGATATATCTGAGAGTACACTGAGACACCAGGCCAATGTCATTGCAAGGCTGCTCTCCATCATTTCTGAAAAGGCATGGCAACCTGGGCAGGTCCCCAGTGACTGGAAAAAGGCAAATGTCACCGTCATCTTCAAAAAGGGAAAGAAAGAGGATCCAGGAATTATAGGCCAATCAGACACACCTCAATCCATGGGAAGGTTATGAAACAAATTCTCCTGGAAACCATTTCTACTTACAAGAAGGTGACTAGCACCAGCCAGCATGGATTTACCAAGGGAAAAGCATGTCCGAACAACTTGATTGCCTTCCACGAGGAGATGACTGGCTCTGTCGATGAGAACAGTGGGAGAAGGGACAGCAGCCTTTGACAAGGTCTCCCATAGCATATTTGAGGGCAAACTAAGGAGATTAGGACCAGATGGTTGGACTACAAGGTGGGTGAAAACCTGGCTGAATAATTAGTTTCAAAGAACAATGATCAACATTTCTAAGTCTAGCTAGCAGCTAGTTACAGTGACATTCTTCAGGGGTCAGTCCTGAGAACAATACTGTTCAACAACTTCATTAACTACTTGAACAATGGAATGCACCCTCACCAGCTTCAGAGATGACACCAAATTGGAGGAATTGGTCAACACACTGAAGGGCAGGGCTGCCATTCTGACGGACCTCAGCAAACTGGAGGAATGGGCTGGCATAAACCTCAAAGCACAACAAGGGTGAATGGTAAGTTCTGCACCTGGGGCAGGATTACCCCACGCAACAGTGCACAATGGATACTGGCTGGCTCAGCAGAAAAAGGCCTGGGGGTCCTGGTGGAGAACAAGTTGAACGTGAGACAGCAGAAGGTCCCTGTGGATACAAAGGCTAACCACATACCGGGCTGCAAGATCGTATCCAGCAGATCAAAGGAAGTGATTATTTCCTCCTGCTCAGCACTCATGCTCAGCCACACCTGGAGCAGTGTACAGTTTTCAAAGCCCTAGTGCAAGAGTGATCCTAACAAAACTGAAGCAAGCCCAGAGGAGGGACATCCAGATGGTCAGGGGACTGTAGCATACTATGTTATGAGGAGCAGCTGAAGGAGACAGGTTGGTACAGCCTGGAGAAGTGAAGAGGAACGGCAGGGTGAAATCTAACTACAGTCTGCCACACACTGAAGGGGGTGCTATAGAGAAGACAAGAGTTGGATTCTTCTCAGATGCACACAGTGAACAGACAAGAGGCAAGAGACACAAGCTCCAGTTAAAAAAAAAATGCCTACTAGACAGAAAAAAAAAACCCACAGTGAGAGTGGCTAAGCACAGGGACTGAGAAGCTGGCGAATTTCCATCCTTGGATGTTTTCAAAATTCAGCTAACCAAGGCCATGAGCAACCTAATCTAACTTTGAAGACAGTCCTGCTATAAGCAGGAAGTTGGACTAGCTGCCCTCCAGAGGTCTTTTCCAAGCTGTATTATTTTGTGATCCCATTAGTATAAAACCAGCATGCCTACGCTCTCATTTAACTTACGCTGGCTTTAAGCCAATATAATGCTTGCTGCCAACATAAGGTTACCCTGGATTTATATATGCATTAGGAAAACCAAAATCTGGCCTGGTTCCACAGGAATGGGATTCTGTAAATTGGTGGGAAATAATGGGGAAAAATAGTCCAAACAATTTGAAGTTCTCTTTGGACAAATTTACTCCTGAGGCTGCAAAATATAGCAGTTACAAAATGAGAAAGACAGTTCTCCACAACTAGAAAACATCAGAATCTTCTTCTTTTCTCTTGATACACAAAGCAGACAACTGGACGGTGAACTCCCCTCCCTCAAAAGGCTTCGTATCTAATCACTAGGCCATTTCTACAAACATGTTCAGAGTCTTTGACATTCAGTTCTCACTTTGCACTCAGCATCTGTATAGCTATGTGATGTTTCCAAGTCAAGCACTGGTTCTCATTTAAATGGATAACAAGCAGTGCCACAGATTCCAAGAGTCAAATAAAAGACCAAGGCTAACTTAAATTGTAAGATCCTGATTCATCGACCTAGGAACGTATCTAGACTCAAATAAAGGGACTGCTTCATTAAAATGAATGAGGTGTGACTTGTGTTTGCAGGAAAATTATGAGGGAACTGCTGGAACGGCTTCTACCCTCAGTTGTCCGCTCCACCTTTCTTCCAGAGGCTGTGATCACCACTGCAGGAGTGGCTGAATGGCATGTGCACTCCTTCCTGAGCACTGTGGTTTACAGCCCAGCATATTATTCTAAACTGCAGCCAGTAGCAACCTCTGGGAGAGACGCAGGCTGGATAGCTGATGGCAGTAACTAGTGTCCCAGATAAATTCTCTTAGAAAAATAGGTCAGAGCCTTCCTAGGCACACTCTCGTGCGCACAAGCAAGCACTCTGAGGAATGATAGCCTCAGTAACAATCTACATATGCAATGTGTGTCTCAAACAGCTCAATATCCTGAAAATTTGAAAACAGAGGAGTTAGTTATCACCTTCAGCCATTCAGATTAATCTCCTGCTTTCCTGAAAAACAAAAAGCAAACAGCCAGCAGTTCACTCCTTGGAAAGTAAGAAACCTATTGTATATCAAAGAATTGCTTTTGCATGTGCGTGTGCATGTGCACGTGCATGCACATGTTTATGCATAAAGTCTGCATACGGGATTCCTACAGAGCTCTGCCATTTCGTCAGCTTACAAGATCTGCTTGCAGTCGCTGTTCCAATTGTCTCATAGCACAAATATACCTTGTTTAAACAAACACATTCAGATACCAGTAGCAGTCTCACCAAGGTAACAGGGAGCTCCCTCAGGGCTGCAAACCTTCCACACAAGCTGTGAACGTTCTGTCAGTAAACCTGCTTTAAGTTGCATGGCAGCACAGGTAGGTTAATTTACCATTGCCCTTGCTGGCTTAAAATTACAGTTGTATGCACATACTACAACGTAACACAGAACTGACCAAAGTGTAGATAGTCCTTTACAGCCACCAGTTATTAGGCAGTACGCTGAATCCTCAACAGCTGACAGCTGATGAGCAGGCTGTGATGTCAAAGACAACACCAGACTTGGTAAGATCTTTATGGAATCAGGCTATTTTTCACTTTTATCTAGGAATCTTCTCAAATACAGATAAAAGCTGGGAGACACGACTGAATTCATGCAAGTTTACAAAAAGCTCCTGAAAAATTTTCAGTTGCCCTGATTCACTTCAATTAGATTTTATTTTTGGCTGCCCCTTCTTATCCCAGTCCTTAAAAACGGTCAGTCAGAATTTGCAAGAATATACACAAAGATTACATTAACAAATTCTAAAAACAGTTTGAATGTTCAAAGATCATCTTTCATATGCTTACCTGTTGGCTCTTTGCCTTCATCTTGGGTCTTCTCAAAATGAACCAGCAAATCTTTGGAAACAGTCTGTGCATCTGTAAATGTTCTAAAAGAAAATATGCTTATCAAAAAGTTATCAAGCAGTGCTAGCAGGAGCTACTGCAATCAACATACAAGATACCCAAAAGAACACGAGAACATAGCTGGCAAGTAGCAAGAAATATAAAAAGGAGAAAAACAGATAGCTCAGAGAAACAAAGAGCATTTTGCCTCTTAGTTGCAAGCTCCGATACAACCAGGTTAGAGAGCAAAAGGCCTTCAGTTAGCAAGGATCACATTCTTATTTTATTCAGTGGACTGTGGATTCAGCATAATGGAGTATAATAGATGGAGACACTAATTTGCCGTCTCCTCAAACTGAACAAGTGAACTGTACAAGTGAAAAGAAAGAATGAGCACTCTTAACCTTGACTACACTGTCAGTGTATTAATATCATGGCACCTGCAAATTTGCGCAGTTGATACGTGTTGAAGGTCTGAGGTTGGGTGGTTCTTTTTTAAGGACAGGAAAGGAAGGAGATTTAGTTCCAAATAATAATGAGACGATATTTCTCAAAAACTTTGCAAAAATAACAGCTTTTCATTATCACACGGATGAAATTAACCCTTCTTGGCTGAAATTAACTAGGCAAAGTTTAACGCACAGATAGCACAAACTCAAAACAGAAAGTCTGCAAGGTAACAGACTACAAAGGATTATATAAGCAAGAAATCAGAACGACCCCTGAGCATTTGGAAACAACTGGCTGCATAAAGCAATCAGATTGCGTTCATTCAGAGCAATCACTACAGATTGCTAAAATACATAATGCTATTTATGAAAATCCTTACATACTAAAAAAATCATATGACATAGTGAACTGCATAATGAATTTTTTCAACGCCTATATCGAGCCACAGTTAATACCAGTAGCCTGAATATACGGAAAGAAACCTTTTTCCTTCCATTATAGGCTTTAGTATGCAGCTTTTTAAAAGTTAGCTGACTTCATTTAATACATCAAGGGGTAAGAATCAGTCTTCACAGGTCAAGAACAAGTTTGGATCATCTTCATTCCCTCGGAACAAGAACGACAGAAAAGTCCTGAGGGATACTGAAAAAGCCTTTCCCTTCTACAGTGTGATAAATTAACTCAAAACGTAGGAAAAAAAATATCCAGGCAATGCCCCTCCCAGCTGCCATATAAATAATAAGCAACTTCAAAAGCAGTTTTTCATGCAGCCCAGAGTCAGCATTTGGTCCCATTGTTTGCTACCTATGTCAGACATAGGTTTTTTATCTTGTACTTACAACACCGTTTTGTTGAGTAGCTACATGTGGGACACGCCTGGAAACTATTATTTGTCATTGACAATGAAATCATTCTCTAAGAAAGCTTTAACCAAGCTGGATCTCTTATACAAGAATTTAGCACAGGACAAGCTCTGCCCTGAAGAACTTTAAATCTGCAGGATGAGACATAAACTGTGGACAAGAAAGCAGCAATGGGGGAAAACTGTGAAGGACATGTTAAGCTCTCTAAAAAGACTTCCGCAATTCTTCACCCATCAGAAGTGACGATCCCAGTTCATTTCCTCCCTTGCCACCACCATGCTGCGGTCTTCAATGTCTCAGAGCGGAGGTACAGGTTGTGAACGCAACAGAAGGAAAATAAGAACGTGAGAAGGCTTTGTTATTCATCTGGGCTGTGAGGTTTTTTCCTCACGTGCCAGTATGTCCCATAAGGGTATTATGGGACAAAACGTGAAAGGGCTTGTCTGATAAGCAAAGAGTTAAGCTCTGAAATTACAGTCACTGGAGGGTGGAGGCAGATGCTGATGAGAAACGGAGTAACTTAAGGACAAGAGGATTAGACTATAGAACTATTTTGAAAGGTAAATCTGTGTTTGATATAAGGGAAAATAGGACTTTACAAAGTGGGACTGCCCAGTGAGAATGATAGACCAGGGAGATACATTTGGGAATAAAACAAAATTATTAAACACATTAATAAATATGTGTTTGACTGTAATCTCAAAACACTTAATAGTTCAAACAGTTCCTGAAATAGTCCATATTTGAAAGAAAAATTACACTTGATGTTTAGAAATATGAACATTCAGTGCAACCTTTTCCTTTAAATATCTGTTGAATACTACCGCTTTTAAATGTTTATTATTTTGTAGAACAAACAAAACAAAGACATACTCAAAAGATAACTGAAGGTTACTCTTGTGGAAAACACCAAAAAAGCTTTCCGAAGAACACAAATCTGCTTAGTAGTATATCAGAAGAGCCTCCTTTAAGGTAACCCCAAACTTGTAATAATCATCATTAACAATTTTTCCTAGATCAAAATGTCTTTAGTTTGCTTAATTCCGATCTGTCTGGTATAATATACTGCTTGCCTTTACATTACGTTCCCTTAAACGCATCAATATAGTAGGAAAAAAAGCAACAAGTTTAAACTCGTAGACTCGCTCCGATAATGCTTCAACACGCAAATGTTGTACGAGGAGCTCTATGCATCTAAGGTCTTCAGGAGTGTTTAAGTTAGTAACACCACATGCAAACTAGTTGTTACCTGCCTCTAGGGACTAAAGAGTCAATTTGAAAGGCTTTTTGCTCTGAAAGTGCAATGAAGAAATATTCTCCATCCCTCAACAATTTCTTGTGTGTATTCAGAACCATCACTGCTGAGTGAAATAGTAAGTTTTAATGCTGTTTGTTCCTTTTAGCTTTTGTAAGGAGTTATACCTTTAGGAAACTAGGTAAAGAGCCATGGAAGATTATATTACCTGTAATTGTTCAAGTAAATCTAAACGGAGCAGAGTTCTGTGGGACTGCTCAACTCGAGAGCTTACTGAGCATACTGCGCCAAGGAGAGGACACACTGCAAAAATACGGTTTGATGGTGAGATGCACCATTAAAACCAAAATGCTCTGGAAATTTGGACTTTGACTGAAATTTGGACTTTGACTGGCCAAGTTATTACTAAGGCTGAGGTTCTGCAGAATTTATTCATTGTTATTAGTATAGGGACAGCACATTCCCAAATCCGACCACCAATTCAGAAGTGGATTTTCTGCATCTGATTTTTGCTTAAAAAAAAAAATATATATATATATATGTATATTCCAAAAGTAATACAGGAAAACTCTACAAAGAACACGCAAAGGATTTGAAAGTGGGACTTTCTTTACCAAGGCAATTGGACCAAATTACACAGTGCTGACCAGCTGGAACTAAACCAAATGTACTTCTGTAAAACTCCCTTAACTGGAATGTTTTTTGAATGGCACAATATTTCCTAACACAATTTGGGATTTAAGTTCAAGGCATCATTCTATCAAGTCAGAACTCATTTGCTGCCTGAATACCACACGCATACCCTTCACCCAAGACAGAGGGAGACCCCACTCAAGCTGACCAGCTTCTCTGGAGGTCTAGGGTAAATCCTAAACTAGCACAACTCACTTGCAGCTACTACCACTACTCTGTGCCAACAAGATGCTATTTCACACTGTAGCTGTTCTCACGTATCAGGCTAGCCTAAAAAGCAAGAACTCGGAACAATCTCTGTAGTGGGTTAACAAAAGGCAAGTTTCTCTTCCTTCTTTGTCTACCGTCCAAGACTGTTAGAGCTCTAGCTAGCTTTATCTCTGTGACCCAGCGCAAGGAACGCACATGCAACCGATGTTACAATGGTAAAATAATACGACTGATGTAACTGACAGACTACTTGGGAGTCCTTATTGCTGGTGATGATTCACTAGAGGAAAAGCATCCGATTTGAGTTTGCTGGCACATTTTTGAAAAATGTTTTTTACCTGAATGTATTTGATGAACTCAAAGGAATACAGTACTATTTCTTACAGCAACAACAGAAACTTTATGTAAGAGCTAAATCTCTCCGCTTTTACCATTATGAAATGGCAGTGCTCATTTACTGAATTTTAAACGTTAGAAAAAATTTGGTTTTTTTCTGTTACCATAATGATACCGAGTGCCCAGTTAATGGCACTACTTACTGTGATAGTAATTTCCAGAAATTTTTAACTTCAAGGGACTCAGGAAATTGCCTTCCACTTCCATAGGCTCTAGATGTCCTTTTTTGGTAATGAAATTTCTGAGTACATCTTATATCCCAGTTCAGATATAATCAGATCTTTTTTTGTCTTCTAACATCTCTCCTCTAAGTAAATGTTGTGAAAATACTAAGAATAAAACCAAAAAGAATCTACTGGGTCAATATTTAATAAGTTCATAACCTGATTATTTCTATGGAGATCCAAAATATTTTGCAGACATTCTCTCTTCGATAATAGAATACATAGAACAGTATACATAAGATACATAGATGATTGTCAAGTATAATTAAGTTAAAATCTTATCTCTCAGACTTAAAGACTATGCACTTTCTGTTGTAGGGATCAATATATTTGGCCTTAACTCTGCAGAGTGCTTCACAAGATTAAAAATTGCACCAAGGGAATATGAACACTATTATGCAGCAGTCATATTATCATGAGATTTAAGGGGAAATTGTTAAATTGATCATGTACAGCGGCAAATGAACAGAAACCTCTTATGCTTCCCATTCTCCTGTTCTCTGTCACTATCTTGCAACCTCTGCAGTTTTGTAAACATTTAAGTTCTACCAGTAGGCCCTCTACAGTGAACATTAGAAGTAAAAAAAATTAAACAGTTTTCTATAAACTTGCAAAAATTGTTAGTATGTTATTCACTACAATTTCAGGGCGTTTAGTCACAACCCATTGAATACATACACCAAGTCAAAGTACCAGCATCTGAAAATCACATTCACAACTGCTCACAAAAAAAAAGTTTTGAATAAACAGTTTCCTGCAGCTAAACTGTCAGGAATTCAGACTATGCATTCATCCTTTGTCCACTACTATAGCTTCCAGACCCACCCTCTTTGGATTCAAGGTGAGCCTACGCCATCTCCTCCTCCCCTTCCTGGTATTGCTAACATAGCATCTGTTCCCACTGCACACTTTCTTGACTCTTACCTTATTCCTGGATAATGTTGCACTATATGGGCTCTGTGCACGGAAATTAATTTTCTTCTTTTTTAGCTTACGGGAAACGTTCTCTGTCAAAGACACTGCATTCGTATGTTATCAAAGAAACTGAGATTAATGCAATGCTTAATTTTGAAAGAACCAAGAATATGTTTAGGGTGCAGAGCTGAGACTAGATGGTCAACCATAACATTGCAGTTCCTGCCTGCTTAACTTCTGAAGCTTTATTAGAAGGGAGTGCAGGATTTTTGTTCTCCCCTTTTTTCCCCTCAGACTAAATTATTCTGCAGATTGGCTAAGACATAGAACATAAGCCAATAATGAGGGATCTCTCAGTTATGGCGTCTTCTGCATGCATACAATTCCTCTGTCACTTACATGCTTTTTCCAAAAGTGATCCATTCAGCTCCTCCTGGGAATGCTCTCGTAGCACTGCTTCAGACTCTGGGGCTCTTAGGAAGGCTCACTTGTATTTTGCCCACGCTGTGATCCAAAGCAGTGTAACTCCTCAATCTACTCAATTGTTTCTCTACATCTGGTTTACAAACTCACCCACCAGGCTTTCAAGTGGCAGTAAGCGTGTTACTACATACCTCTTATAACAGAGTCTCCACCTTATAATTAAACTCCTCTCTCTGGTTGCCTTGCCCAAAGAAATATTTTGCAATATGCAGATGTTTAATCTTAGGGAGCAACTTGTGCAAATCCTTATGTGTACAAGTACTTTGTCAAATAAGTATTTCTGTTGCCTCAGGCTTTCCCAATGATTAACTATGAGTCTTATTTAATTCACAAAAATGAGGCTAAACTGGAAAACATGTAGTTTTTTGTCAAAGCAGAACCTCTTAATTTTGTTTTGCTTTTCATTGCTTGCTTCTTCTGAAGACAACTTGATGAATTTTATCTCTTAACTCGTGAGGCTTCCTTGTTTGCTTATTTAAGTACTCAACAATAAAGCAGGTGACAAAAATCCGTCTTCCAATCAATGTGTATCTTTGGCTTCCTCATTCTTTGTGACCAGTGTCATAAAGATTTATTTCTGCTTTCTAATGATGGCAATTTTTTTTTCCTAAGTTTTTGTTACATTATTCTCCAGGACACCTTAGCGATATACATTCCACTAACGTTAATCCACCTTAGAGTTGCTTTTGGTAGTATGATTTGGGTCTGCATCTGCACATTCCAAAGTACTTTTCATTGGGTGGTAAGCATTTTCAATGGCTCACTGTGGCATTTTAAAACAAGATGGAATCCTTAAGTAATCTTTTGACAATTCTTTTGGCAGCAAAAAGCAAGGGGTTAAATTACCTATGGGGACCTCTGAAAACTTTAATGATCTTGACACTCTGCCCAGAAACTTTGGAAACTAAACATCATCATCTGGATCCCATTCATGAGTAATTCTTCTTTCTCAATTCCCCATGCGCCTTGCGAGTGCTGAATCCAATATTTTAAAAGAGAAGTCTGGGGAGAGGATGCAGAGGGAAGGCAACAGAATAAATTTAGAATTACAAATCTGTCCTAGAATTCTAGACAGCAAAGTCACTCTGACTTAAATCAGCATAAGAACATAGTACCAGAACTTCGATAGCTCATCAGCTAAATAGAAACCTGTGATCAACACTCACTCACTAAACAGATAGGTAGCAAACACGACATCTCCAGACTGTGAGAAGCTGGGAATTGTTACAAAAAAAAAATTTTAAAGATGCTTTCTCCTTTTCCACTATATAAGGAAAAAAAAAAAAAGAAGGTAACGAGACACAACATTAAAATCCTAACTTTATTACATGCAGAATTCCTCCTGCCTTCCTACCTTCTTCTTCTTACCTCCTGCTGGCGAGAGTCCCAGAAGGTCCTCACCTCTCAGTACTTCACAGTTCTTTACAAGGGCCTGTCTACTCTAACCGGTTTCCTTATTTACTAATTACTCCCCTTTTTAAATTAGGGCAATATTACAACATATTCCTTATTGGTTCTATTTAAAATTTTCCTGTTCTTTGTCCTCAAAGAACAGGTTAGATTCAGTCTTTAATTAGTTTTCATGTCCTTATGAGATTTAAAAAGGGGGCTACACATCAGCCGAGATATGTGCCTACTCTTGCAAAAAGGGTCAGCTGATCTGACAAACAACTCGCTTTCGGGGCGTACACTAAACCAGTTTCTCAAATTACTAATGTAACTTTTCCCCATGCAAGTATATATTTAAAAGTAACACAAAAGCTTAATGAAGAACAAAGTACTAAAGTTAACAGCTGAGACCTATTTCAGCATATGCTACTGTTGACAAACAACTTCTAGTAAAGCCTGTCTTTATTTGCAAACAGTAAAACCCCAATCTGGTTTTTTCCTTTTGTTATGATTAAATATCTGCAAGAATTAGGCCACTTCGCTTGGTGAGCAAACAAGCTTTACAGACAGCTGAGAACTATGTGGGTGAATGAGAAAAAATGAACAATGTATCCATGTTTTTAGGCAAAAAGGGCAACTGTTCAGCAGTTGGAGTGTACTGCAACCCTTCACTGACCTCGGTGCAGATTTTCTTGCTCCGTTCTAACCTAACCTGCAAAAATCCAGCCCTGAAGCTGAAATATTCTAGTAACTGCCTCTGTATGCCTATTTGCAGGGAATGCAATAAGGTTAGTTCATACAGAACTCATTATTTCCTCTTTTCCTCATTTCTGAGGTCACACCGATTCAATTTCAACCTTATAAAGCATCTTTTTTCCTTTGTTCATTTTGCTAGAATCTTATTTTGTTTGTCATTTCCACCTGAAACCCCACTTCCAGCATACAAAGTAAGTATATAAAACTTGCTACCTAACCTCAAACCGCTCCAGGTGGACCACACTATTTGACAGGACAACAAATACGCATTGACTCTTTCAAAAATAATAACAAAGAAATATTTATTCCAAAGGCTTTGAATGCATCCACAGTATCTGAAGTTCTAGTCTCTGTCATATCCTTTCAATAGGAAACCAGAAACAAAGCATATGCTAAACACCTTTTTAAAACAAAATACAGGAAGCTTAAACTACAGCAGTATCTTAAGGTTGTTGCAAACGACTATCTTTTTAAATTCTCTTTCAGTAACTGTTTTTAATAATGAAAACATGGAAACCTTTTTCTGCTTAAGTACACCTTAAGTAGAACAATGCATTGACTAAAATAAAGGTGTGATCACTAATTTACCAAAATCATAACTTTCATGAGCCAATATGTAGAGTATGTCTATACTGATCAAAGTTATAAACCACGGTTTATTACCTTGGGGCAAATTAAACAAAAATGACAATTCTAGTTTTAGCTGCTTTAAGGCTCCAGAAGCAAAAAATCCAACCAAAAACTTTTAAATATTTTTAAAACTTGTTTTCTTTTCTGTAAAATGTTAGTCTATAGTTTGCTCCTAAGGACAGCGTAGGCTTATCAAGGATAACAAAGTCCAGAGTAGAAGAAACCATAACAATGAAAATGGATCCAACCAATCATTTACCTAAGAGGGTCAAGTAAAACTTCCAAGTGACACAATATGCAAGTTGTTACCTAAACAAATATCAGGTTAGATTTAACTTAACAGAAAAGTAAGTATCTACCCGCTATGGTAATTCAATCTGTGGGGATGGATAATTAGTACTCAACAATACTGACAAACTTATAATTATTAGAAGTTTTAACTTATAATTATTAGAAGTGTTTCCTGCAGGATTTGCTCATCTATTCTTAAAACACATCTTTCCAAAGACTCTAGAAAGAGAGGAGTGCTGTCTGTTACAGAAGAAACCATCCCAGTGATGGAATAACAGGAGAAAGGAAGGGTTTTTTTTTTTTTTTTTGCCTTCTGCGCTGCCTAAGACAGAGAGAGCAGCCAGTAGGGTTTATCTTACATTTGGAAAGGTAACAAACTCCTCTAAGATAAACTCTTCTAAAACTAAGGGTTTTTTTTCCCCCCGAAATTATTCTAGAAAAGAGACTTGTGATCTAAAATAAATACACCCGAGTTAAAAGTCTGAGGAAGGCAGTTACCTTTCCTCCCCACCCTCTGCTGTAAAAGATGGGTCAGGTGCTTGTTTAAATTCTGGTACCTTTGATGGGAAGAAGATGCTCAACTGCTTGACTAAGGGAAGTGCAAATCATCAATTAAGGCTTATCCTTAAAATTCACCAGGGAAGAGGGATCCAATTCCATAGCTGCAGCGAGGATAATTTGGAAAGTCCATGTTCAAAGTGGATTATATGAGTAGTAATATGTGCAGAGCAACTGACACTGAACCTTAGAGTCCTGAGGGTCGCTCTTACCAACAGAGACACATGAATGGATGGTACAGAAGCGTGACTGTCTTTTTCTGGACTACCTGAACTTTGCTATTTTCAGACATTTGAGAGTGCATGCAATCTCACGGCCTGGCTGAAAAGCCTTTAATCATTTAATTTACTGAAGTTTAAGGGTCTAGTCGCTTACCAGTGCTTTCAGCTAGGGATTTTCAGCTAGAATTCCACGTATTTGCTAAGCTGTAAGCAGCTGAACCACCGGAGCTAAGCACACCTGTTACCAAAACTGCTGTACAAACTTCTGCAGAGCCCATTTCTGGGACTACGAACCTCCGTGCTATAAAATGAGCACCATGCAATTAGATACACATAAGTAGGATGCAAACAACATAGGAACAATGCTATTAGGAGTACAGCTATATTAGAAGTTAGAATAGAATGAATCAATTTAGGCTCTTTGTTATAATTTTCTTTCATTCTAGCCTCAATGAAGGGCACTTCTTATTCTGTATTAGTAAAGCCAGCATTAAAGAGAGAAGGTTTTTGTGGAACTGAGTGGTAGAAGAACTTAAGTTGTGAAAAGTTGGTAAATTAGTTTGCTAACATAAATACTGAAGCTACTTTACCTGGTTGCATAGCTTTCTGTAACATTCATTGCATTTTCATCTCGTAATTTTTTTGTAAGGATCTCTCCACTGTTAGGCATGCTGACAAACCTCCTAAAGCTGGTCACAAATATGCTGAAGAACTGTGCGGGTCAGGCATAAATAAGCGACTTAGGCAACTGAAGAAACCAACAATAACTGGTTATTTGTTCAAAAAAAAAAAGACGTAATACAAGAGGAGGAGACTACTGCTACAAAGGCTATTTCTCTCCGATTTTAACATGCTTGAAATGCTGCAGTGCCCGTGAGCTGCTTACTGGTAAACTTTCCTTTTAATTCAGCTTTCTTTAATTGCCCATGAGAAGAATTTTAATGAGCCTACAACGCTTTAAGATGCAAATCTTCCCTTTTGCCAAGATTTCTAGTGAATTAGTTCACAGAAGTTGAAGCTATTCTGTTTTTCTTAACTCTAGTTTCAAAAGAGAGCATTAAGCGACCTTATTTTCTTAAGGAAAATGCAGATTAATTACATTAGGAAATGCCTTCAAGTCAGTGATACCTATGCAACCCAGCACTGTAACGGCAGAGCGCTCAGTCTGCTAGTGTCCCAACTACCAGCACTTCATTGACTTCTACTCACCAAACCTGGCCTATCATATATTGACGTTTCTACAGATGACTAAACAAACTACTTCCCAGGATGTAAGAAAGCCTAGTTTGGCCACTTAGGCTGCTTCTATACTAGTAAATGAAAAAAGATCCAGGGAATGGCTCAAGCCACCCACTGCGAGCGCTTTCCCTGGGACAGTTTTTGTCTGTGCCAACTGCCTTTTTCCTGCACGATGCCTGGGGATACAGGGGATAACCCAGGCCAGGGGCTGCTCTTGGGAGACTAAGTTTAATCTAACTACTCTGTTTGAAGGAGGAAGAGAGGGATACAAGCTGTGCCATGCCACTTGCCCTCAGGACCAGGGAACATGCTCTAGACTGTTTTACTTAGTGGTATAAACACAGTCATAGCGAATAGATTAATGTAAGATTAGTAAACGTCAGCTTAGTCTAACTTTCTGTAAAGATTTTGTAATTTATTCCAGAGATATTACACCGTATGCAATTGCTTGATTCTATGTAATACAATTTGAAATGGAAGAGAAAGAAGAAAACAGTCCTGACATTTTAACTATAGAATTATGAAGGTGGTACTGAAATAAATAAAAAAGTTCCGCATTGAATTTGCCTGTGCAGCTCTGGTACAACACTTCTAGGTACTCTTTTAGAGTCTTAAATAATAAATCCTAGCAAGACAGGCTACCTTACACAGTGTTCAGTAAGGAAGAAACTGCACCTTCAGATTTTACAAGTCCCAGTTTACATGATGCTATTAGCACGGTCACTTTCTTTCACGCCCGCATCTAGCCCCATGCAACTTGCACGGGACTGCATTAGACTCAGACTGAATTTTTGCAGTGGGACAGGCTGCTCTTTCCAGTTATAGGTGAAGATTTCTGGGCTATGATAAGCTCACAAAACTATGAGGGTAATTTTAAGAGACGAATAAAGCTCATGTACTGTTTATGTCCTTTGCCGCACAATTATGATCGGTACCTTTGAGAAATTAGTGACTGACGCTTTGTGTTAAAGATACTGTCACTGCAAACTTGCACTGTCACAAGATCCCAAACAGAAATATTACAGACGCCAAAACAAAGCTATGTTGTTACTATGGTCAGTAACCAACTGAACTGCAATGCAGAGATCAGCCTCAGCGTGGGCGGAGAGTATGGCACCCCTTCATGTTCAGGCCTGGACACCTCGGGTTTAAATCACATTGCTGCTATGGCAACATGAAACTACATAAAGCTATGCGCTCCCTCATTTCTTCACTTGTAAGCAAGAGCGTTTATGCTTTGCCATGAAACCTGCATGTCTTTGAAACGGATGGCGAAGTATGCCGATTCTGGGTATTCCTAGCTGTCCATCCCGTTTAGTTCAAGCAGGCTGTTGATTCACGTCACAAAACCAAACTGCATCCAGCAAGTCAGTTGCTGACCCATATTTTTAAATCCTTTAATCGGTAACAAACATAGTGTACAACAGCATTTTCTGTTATAGGTGTGACGTTAAACGGTCAGTCCTACTGCTGTTCTGGACTTCCAGCAGCCAGCCTAAAAGAACCAAGCAAAACGTCTAGTACCTTTATGGTTTCTACTTCAAAGACTTTGTGACTCTTCTTAAAAAGATGGTACCACTTTTCATCTTTTTTAGGTATTTCAATTCAGTCCTCTTAGAGGCTGGCAGTTTTTCAGCTTGCTACTAATATTAGCTCTGTATCTGCTGAGTTCCTGAATGGCAATTAATTGCATTCACTGTGATTATATATAACTTTTACATAGCTTACTTTTTTTCCACTTTCTTATAAAATTGCATACTAAATTTTGGTCTCTAAAATATTTAAACTAAAACAAAAATATAACCTACTCAGCACTTACTCTTGAACTACACTAGGTTTCAGGGTTCAAGCAAAATTCTAAACAACAAAATCAGCTAATGATAAACCCAAATATTTTCTTCAAAGATCATTTTGGCTGTGCCTCCGTTAAGTCTTACTAAACAAAGGAGTCTCAAAGACTATCTTAAGAAAGATCAACAAATTTGTGCTAACTTGGGCCAAGCAGCAGATTGATGAGAGCAGATTCCAGAAGAAAAAGCCTCAGCCACGCTGTGCTTATTTAAACTCATACACATACTCTTTATGAAGGAACCCAGACAAAAAAGGGTAACTTTTACCGCAGCCGCGTCAGTCACCTTGTACTTACAAAATCAAAGAGAAACTCTATCCTTACTCAATCAACATATCTAGGCTAAAACAGAAAGACTACCTCTCGTGCATTTGTCAGGAGGAACACAGTCTGTGCCACAAAACTCACTTTCCTATCCACAAGCATAGCCAGCTGCAGGTATTAATATTTCAAGTAAACTTTCAGTAGTGAACTCTCTTTAAAAATGTTTTCTCTCATTGGTCATGCCGTAGCAATAGGAATTTCATTTTGCTTTTAAGAACAGTGAAATCTGCTTTCTAGGGAATTGTTTCACAACAATATATAGAAAAAAAGATCGATTCTAATCAATCAAATCAGAAAAAAAAAAACAGAAAAATTTGCACAAAGCTCCTTGGGTCTGAGTGCCAACAACAACAGCATCCTAGATGTTGAACGTCTTTCCGAAAAAACCTCAGGGGTGCTGCAAGAAACCGTAGCAGCAATTCAGCAGATTGCACACTTACCGCCTCGTCTCTGAGATGCTGCTTGCAGTAACAGCCTTACACTTTAGAAGCCATGATTTTTGAGAGATGGTCAGACAAAAGAAGGAAATCCAAACAAGGAGATTTATTTAAGAGCATTTCATAGAGCAGAGATTAAAAGACAAACGCATACTGGCTGCAGCACATAAAGATGCTGCATTTTCCACAGGCCAGGTGAGAGGCAGTGTCTGTTTTGTGCTAACAGTGAGAATACCCGTTTTAGAGCCGAACACAGAGTCCTCTGGCGGTTAAATGAAACAGGCTGTAGGAGCTAAGCATTCCCCGCTCCCAGCCCAGTCCTGCCTACTTGCAAAGAATGGGACTTCTCTGCTTGTTCTTCTGTTTACACCTACATGCAAATTGGGTACCTGGAGAGTAAGAAGTGATGAGATGATTCAGAATATTACAGGCAGCAGGAGGGAAAGAAGAGATCAGCTGGTCACCTGAGAAAGAGGTAAGCAACTGCTGATTAGGAACAACCACAGCCCTTAGGAGGCAAGGTGTGGAGCAAAAGAAACAGAAATTGGACACGTGCACACCCTATCTATCATTGAGTTAGCCAAGCACACAAAGCAACCACTGCTGTAATTGCTGAATAGTACATCTGCATGTTTAAGGAAAGTGTTACATTTATCGCTAATCGCGAGAAGTTGTACGTGTTGCATGTATTTTGCTTTGGAGAGCTAGAGAAGCATCCTATTCCCCTCAGGTATCAGCATGGCCGTAGTTCTCAGACTAGAGGGATGCAGGAGATGCAGAGGATGATGAAAAGGAGACTGATGGACTAATAACTCCAGTATTAACTCTAATCCAAAACACTACTACCTTACCACTTTTCCCACTAATTCTTTAAACAAACAAGGCATTGGGTGTCCCAACTGGAACGGAAGCCTGAGAAAATAAATACCTGATACTGAAGACAAAGTTGTAGGTAAATACAACCTGATAGCTCACTCTGATAAAATGAAAGGAAAGTAAACAAAGCAAGAGGCCCAATCCTCTCCAGCAAAGATACATCCCAGTGAATTTTTTTGGCAGAGCACTTGCAGACAGCTGCTGCTAGTAAGAAACTACCCACAACTCTAAGTTTATATTTACCAATGTGTATATACACTTACAGGAGGGTTTCTAGCCACAGAAGAGATACATTGTCTCTTTACAATTATTTTAAACTGACCTTTGAAATTCAGCTCTCAGTGAATTCTGTTGTGCTTACAAGCTCTCTTACCTGCTGAAACATTCAGCTGCTGTAAAGCTATTAACAGACTTATCATCTCTTCTTAAAAACAAATATTATCTCCAGGACTGCAGCATTATGGCTTATTTATTTTTAAGGTGAAGGCCTTCACTAGAATAAACTGGTTTTTCCCCTCAAAAAAGTATATGCTTTTCAACCTACAAATTATCAAGTTACATTCTGGAATTATTTTACAAAACAATTTCTACATTTACTTGTCAATATAATTTCATAATTGTGAACCACAGATTTACATGCTTTGCTGCTAATAGTTACACTTGCAAAAAATTGTAATTACCAACACTGTCTTTTTTCACGTGGTTTGAACTGTTCCCTTCATTAACATTTTGATATTTTTGTGGATTTGCTCCCCTGTCTTTAATAAGTCTACTCTCTTAATATAAGCAGGAGTACATAAAGGACAGCAGGAGTACATAAAGAGCAGATTGCATGAATTGGGGCTTCCGATATTTATTTGAAATGCAGTAAAAAGTTACATTACTACGTCTCGAGATCTTTAAACCGTAAGAATTTTGCATTCATAGTCCACATTGGAAATGAAAAAAAAATAAAAAATAAAAACCCAACACCGTTGGACAATGGAAAAGGTTAATTTTCTTCACGGTCATTTTAACTTTTCAGCTCTGTTTTGACAGAGCAAACAACCTCTGGGTTGCAAAAAGCACG